CTCTTTCATTCGGCTGCTTTGGTACAATGATATATGCTCGACATATGTTTTCTTTAGTTTCATCATTTTCTAAAACATATTTATCATTAACTGATGAAAAATAACAAGTAGCACCAGAGTTCATAAGCTTGTTCAACGAAAAACCCATTCATAATGAGTTTTGCCTTATGAATACACCCACACCCTTCTGTAGTCAGAGTCATATAAAAGGAATTTCCATGCAATTAAAAGGTTTTTTTTAATTTGAGAACTCTTGAATGTACTATCCTTCTAGGAATTGAAAAGATAAGTTTCATAGAACAACAATAGTGCAACATTCAGTTTTGATGTTCGACGAATGTTACTGGTAAGTGTCTACGTTTGAATCTCTTCCTCGATGTTTATTGTATAAGTTTTGACTATTCACCAATGACGCATCTGTAGGAAAAAATTCTTTTTTTTCAGTCAAATTTTAATCCCTCTCGATGAAATTGTGTGACTGGTCGAAAAATTCGCGTTTTACTGACCTATTAGAAAATGAAAATTGCAGGGTCCCTCTGAAATTTTGATATTTATGACATCCTTAAATCGACGAATCGAAATGCCTATCGGATGATCTATGGGGTATACAACTATTGCTTAGCTGCTGAATTTTCAGATAAACCAAATGGTTTCATGTGGATGGCTATCGACGGTTCGAGAATGGTTGGTGGCTATACTATGTTCTATTACCAGAAGGAAAACGATTTCAATATCGGCATTGCCTTCTACTACAGCTGAAACATCATCCGAAATGCATTTGGAAGATTTACGAGAAAAGATCTATTGCGCTGGCGACTGCGATCTACATGATATTTTACGTCAACGAAGCAAACTAGACTGGCCAGAATGGCATTTGAATATTGATGAAAATGATAAAGCTATACAAATAGCTAAAGGTTTTCACAAGGATTTTGAAAAACTAAAACTATCCTCCAGTATTGCTGGTCAAGTACGTACAATAGAAGAAACATTTTTAAATTTCTTACCTACTGACAGCAGTTGGAATCAGATTAGAAAATATTTCCAACAAGCTCGTCAACAGAATAATCTATTAGCGATTATTAAAGCCTACACTTGCAGTAGTGAATTTACTGGGCGTCTGAATAAGCATTCAGCTGCAAATACTCATCATTTACTAAAGCTTTATTGTACACTCCTGAATTGTCCAGTTCTGGCCTACACTCAAGAGTACACAGAAGCCTTCACTAGCATTCTGTTTCATCCAAGTTTAGATCAATACCTTGTTCGAAATGAAACAGTTTATCGTGGTATATTTCTTCAGGATGAGAAACCTATAGCTAATTACAGGGAAGGTGTTATAATAATAACAACAACATTTCTATCCACATCACGGAATCGCGATGTAGCTGAACTTTTTGGTGGTACTTCTCCTGGAGGAATATCAATATTTTCCACATATAATATCAATAACATTCGCCGTCACACAGCACTCGATATTGGACGAATATCGCATTTTCCTGGAGAAAATGAAGTATTGATTTTACGATATGCACCATTTAAGATAACATCACTTATACGAACCGAAGATGGTCGAAGAATAGACATATGTTTGGATGAATGTGCAGAACAGTCTACTGTCTAGAAAGACACTATTTTTTTTTTCATATATGTATGAATTTGAGAGTTCAGCTAAATAAATAAATCATGTCAACGATAAATATAAAACACAAATGTGATTGTCAGCCAAGATGAGGCTGTGTAAATCAATCGAAAACAAATCGATCTATATATTGAAGAAGAGACTAATTCAACCTACTAACTTCAACTTTGGCTTTTCAGCAATCAAGAAAGTAGAAGATTAAAGAACAGTACCATGATAAATTTATGTTCTTCGACTAGAAGACTTTGAGGAATGTGCAATCAATTTGGGCGATGCTTTTTTTGTGTTTGTATTGAAAAATAAGTAATCATCAGGACTCTGTATGACATTCTTTAAGCACAAATAAAAACAAAACAAAACTTAAAAAACAGAAACAAGAAATCACAAGTATAAATGAAATACGGAGGATGAATCTTTGAAAAGGAAGATAAGGTTTCATTTCTAATGAAAAATACAAGCCATTCATAGTTACGAATGTGGCTATGAGTAGAGCGAAAGTTCATTGGTAATAAACTATCACCATTTTTCTCTTGACAACTATGCATAAGATGTAAAATTCGATGATTAAACATTGAAATATGCACTTTTTTTCAGAGAATAATAAATGATTAAACATTCTAATCGAAACAGATAGTGTGCATGTGTCTGTGGAAGTAAATGGATATGGATCTTCAGTTTACTAAATTCTACACTCGCATCTACCCAGATACACCGATGAAAACTGACTGATTTGCTCGGTAGCTATTAATAAATGAATGAGAATGACTACAAAAAACGTTCATTTTTCCTTTTTTTTTTTTCATGTTTTTACCAGTATCTAAGAAGCAATACCATGTTATAGTTGATTATAATCTGCGATGCAAAAATAATGGCAAAAATGTCGATTCATATTTCTTTTCAACGAAAGTTCTATGAACTCATTAAAAGGACCTTGTAAAACAGTAATTACTTCTACTTGTATGGAATCTTTAGAATATTACAAATTTATTGCACGACTGTTTCTCGTTTTTCTCAACTAGATTCATTTACCAAGATGTGATAAATATGAATCATATACTGTTTCAAAGAGGAGAATACTTGCTATCAATTGATGAATAAACATTCTTTTCAGAGCCTATTTATCAAAGAAACATAGGAATCGACATTTTGCACCATTACTTTTGCATTCTATGTTAATAATTGCTAAACTTCAAATCTTAAAGGTTATCATTCAACTTTTATAGACGAATCATAAGTTTGTCCTCGATGAACAATTCGAGCCTAAATTACATCTTCAGCAAAAGCTAAAGCGAAATAACAAAGTTTTGATTGTGTTTCTATATTTCAATTAAAGAAATAAAACATTGCGAACGAACATAAGCAAATAAAACTGATAACTGTTAAAATAAAACTGTTTATTTATTATGATAAGAGCACGTCAACTTAATCACATTAAGTTTTATCAGAGAAAAACGGTATACTTATAAAGCGCTTTTTGACGGGTTCAGATCAGTTAAAACTTGAAAACGCTCCATTTAAAAACCTAACACGTAAAGGTGCATTCAAATTTTTTTATTTGTCAGATTCGGTGACTACTTGACTTTATCTGTTACAAAAATCCTTTTGCATTTATTGTATTTTTATCATTATCTGAAACATAATCGAACAATTTAGAATATCAATTCTACAAGTAAGACAGAATTGTATTATACATCTTAATCAATGATTCCATAGAGAAAGAAGGCGAATTCATTCTATTCATGATTATAACTATGTAAAATAGGATCAAGCATTGTTCATCAGTCCGTTTATATCTGTACTAAGACATATCCAATCATAAAATTGGCTACTAGATCGATAAAGCATACAATTTATGCAAGAGTATCGAAACATTGTTTGTTATTATCCATTTTTTTTATGAATCTTGATTCATATGGTAGATAGGACAAGTAGATTAGGTAGATTGTAGTCTCGAAAGTAATGTTTCATTTATGATATAGCGGAGAGGTGCATATCTACCCTCCTCAATTCATGTTTATTATAGTGTCATCGACTCTTATCCATCTCGTATGTCAACAAAAATAAATAATAAACAGTCTCTTTTATTTGTATCTATCAACAAATCAGAAAAGATTTATTAGCCACATATAAACATTATCTAAACTAGCATGTAGAAAAAATTTCAGATCGAAATTCGATAATATCGTTTTAATGCAAATGTGGAGTCCTACACGGAGGTCTACAAGATCTACTAAGTACCAACAGATATCATTGCATTGATTATAATTTATCAAAAAAACCTTTATAAGAGAAGGTGTTTAAACGAAAATTTAGTTAGAATTTCAATACTTTCATCAGCATTCGATTGGTTACAGGATATAAGAACGAAAGTATACCATCATTGGGAACAAAAACAAAACTTGTCCATATGCATAGATACGTTGTACTTTGACGACTAAAGAAGAAATACAGAAAAAATTACTTTCGAATCATTAGCTAACGAATTAATCCTCACTGTATTCGAATTTCTCGATACGAGTCATCTTTTTCATGCATTTCATGGTCTCAGTACGCGATTTAATTCTCTTCTTTCTCGTAATGTTATCATTAATGGCATCAATTTTCTATTATTCTACTTCAATGATTTTGTTACAATCTGTCAAGCATATCTTCCAACTTTAATTGATAAAATACCTTCATTGCATTCAGCAGAAGAGAGTGATCTTTGTCATTCACTTTATCAATCAAGTACTTATGATTCCATACTTAACCACTTTGTTCAATTGAAATCACTTTCATTAGGCTATCTTTCAAATCCAGAGTTAATGAAAAAAATAATTTTGGCATTATCTCGCTTAATCAATCTCGCTCATATCAGTCTCAGACGATTTTCTTTGACAGAAGACGAGGATGAAGATCTATCAACAGCGCTGAGATTGATCAACTGTATATGGAGTCTACCGAAACTCACTTACTGTTATTTTGCAGGCGATGTTTGCCTGTATTTATTGATGGCATTTTCATACAACCGACTGTATATTCATCAAGTATAGCATATGTGTATTTATTGGATCTTGATAGAATAACTTTCAACTTGGATAAAATATGTAAAAATACACCAAATCTTCAACATTTAACGATATCATTTCACCGCAATTGTCCTGATCGATTCTTAATGTTACCTGTTCTATCAATAACTGGTTTCAAATTGTTACTAAGTTCTTGTCAATGTGAATTATTTAACATGTTAATAGTGATGCCCAATTTGTGTCGATTGAAAGTAGATTATTATTATTATCATGCTATACACATTAGTGAACATGAATGGGAAAGAATTATTTCGAATTATTTACTCAAACTAGAAACATTTCATCTTAACATGGTAGATTACTTTAGAGGAAACAAAATAGTTGATGAACAAGTTGATGAATTACTCAATACATATCGAACACCATTTTGGCTTGATAAATATGGTTGGTTTGTTCGATGTGATTGGAATCCAGGTATTGGAAACTTTTATCTTTATACTTTGCCATATGCTTTTGGCTACTTTGATATATCTGATTCAACAATTTGGAAATCAACTTGTCTTGATAAGAAGAATCAATACACATACGATGCTATGCATCATTTAAACTATGATGTTAAACCTGAACAATTTCCCCAACTCTCTGGTATTCAGTTTTACAAACTAAAAAAACTGACAATAACATGTCCTATCAGCGATCATTTCTGGTCAATGTTTCCAACATTCGATCATTTAACTTCATGCGAGATACTGTCAAATCATAATAGTGAAGAATGTCAAAAACAAATTCAACTTTGAATTTCTCGTACACACCATCCATCGTTCTTAGACTTTTCAAAATCTGTTCAAATCGATTTACATAGCAAACCTGTTATTAGAAGTCAAGAATAGATCGATAAAACGACTCTGTTTATTAGGACTTAGGCAATCATACAATGAAAAACAATGTTTACGACTGAGTCGTTCACCTCTTACTATGCAATGTGAAGAACTTCACATTACTATTAAAAATCGATTATCAATATGTTATCTAGTTAAAGCTATGCACAAATTACGATTATTATTTGTACAATGTGACGATGACAAAGGAGGAAAACGATATCGAATAGAAGATGGTGAGGAAGAGGAAAACTCAACAGAAGATGAACTTCTCAGTTGGTTACAGCAGCAATTGGCAGGTATACGGTCATTCATTGAAATATCTCGTTCACGCTACACTATTGTATTGAGATTATTATAGAAGAAATTTTACTTGAAGATATCTATGAAAAAAAATACTGAACTTATTTTGTCTTTATCATATATAAGTGCTCATTCATCAATATTTTTCGCTTGATAATTACATTTTCTGTCAACTGTAATGCCAAAATTCAACACTTTTCTCAATGAACTATCGAAAGAGATAAGAGATAAGTAAGAAAAAACAATGAGAAATGTTTTGGAAAAAAATGAGACATTTCTTATTTTAAACCTTCAACAGAACCATTAAACAACTGTGTTTACTATTTTTCGTTGAGAATACTAACAATGACAATTAAAATTTCAATATTTAGTTTTATACAATTCGTATGATACTTGAGACGATGATATGATTATAAGTTGCCTTTTTATAATATATCGATAAAGTTCCATGAAACTATGCTTCTCAGTTGTCTTGTATTTCTTAGATTCTCCGAAAAAAATTCAAGATTTGCTTTTTTACGTGGAATAGTTGTTGTTGAGAAAAGACAAGCAATGCTTGTTCACGTACAGTACATTATCATAATTATCACTGCAATTCATTCACTTTGGAAGATTTTTTTATGAAGATCATAGATCTTTTGAAGAATTCATATTGAATTTATATATTGTTGTGTTATTAATTATCATTGACAAATATAATATTTTTTTTTACAATTGTATAGGATGACTCACAATTTCGGAATCTTGGCAACACTTAATTTATATGTCAATGGAGAATGATTTATAGCTCACTAAAGGACGGGGGATGTTTTCGGTGCATTTCGGTCCAATTAGAAAAGGAAGGCAGATTTACCTGAAACTTTCAGCAAATACTCAACTTTATCCTAGTAGTCATCACTCAAAACTTCAGCTTGATCCGTTAAACTTTTCCTTTACTTCGATACATTAAAAACCTAGACCCTAAATATACACACTAAGTTAAAATGTGTCGCATGTGTTGTGGTTTACGACACAATGCACGACACATTAAAGCACGACACGAGGTGCTCGTTGCGACACATTTTGTGGGTGTGGGTGTGGATCTTTTCTATCACTACAGGAATACCAACTCCACACCGACCCTACGTTGGGACCAACACTCAGAAAAGTCACTCCACGTTTGAATCAAATAGTGGAGAATGAAGGCCCACAAGGTTACTTCTAAGGCACTTTTCCATGAATTTTGGGGACTATGGACCCTATATTCATACTACAGCAGATTTCACTCAACCTAATATGCTTGCTATATTGTAGCCCCTACGGATTCCAACGGACTCTAGGAAAGTTACCGTAGTTTTAAATCGTATAGTGGAGAACGAAGTTCAACAAGGTTACCTCTATAGGGCTTTTTCATGAATTTTTGAGACTGTGTACTTCATAGTGATACCAATGCAGGTTTGTTTTGGGTCTCATGTCCTTGCAATATTGTAGCCCTCAATGATTCCTAGTGACCCTAGAAAAATCACTCTGGATCTGAATCGTATGGTGGAGAACGAGGGTACACAAAGTCACCTCTATTGGATATTTTTACGTATATTTAGGGTCTAGGTTTTTGATGTGTCGAAGTAAAGGAAAAGTTTAACGGATCAAGCTGAAATTTTGAGTGATGACTACTTACATAAAGTTGAATATTGGCTGAAAGTTTCAGGTAAATCTGCCTTCATTTTCTAATTGGGCCGAAATGCACTGAAAACGTCCGCCGTCCTTTAGTGAAAAGATCTTTTCTGATTGGTCGGTTTCCCACCCAGTGGGAAGGTCGGATATAAAATCCGATCTCGATTACCTTTAGTGAAACTTTAGAAGCTACACCTAAATAACCTTCATCGCTGATGTTTTTTTGACCTTGCCATAAACATACAGACACACCCATCTATAAATTCTTTTTTATTTTTTTTATATGATCTCCTTACAGTCGAGGAAATAGTATGATCTTATGCAAATAGACGGTTCTAATGTCATTCCCTTTGTTTTATAAAATACTTTGATCTAATGTAAATAGACAATTCTAATCTGTCTCCTCTCATAGATCGCGTATGTGGGATTTGTGAATTGAATATTCAAGAGATCAAAACAATGTATTAGATATAAAAGGACTCAATTGTGAATGATTCTTTAGTATCATTTCAACGTGAAACATGGTGAGTTTAAATCGGCTTGGTAGGACTACAGGAGGACGGTTTTCAGTCTTTCTTCGTAAACCGCAATCAGCCGAATATAATGAAAGTGTTTGAAATTCAGATTTCTACATCCGAGTAACGTCAACAAGAGTACAGAATAAGTAGCATCCGTAGAAACTGATTCTGTTTAACAAACTGAGAGATGATCAGTGAAGGAATGATTAGTAAACACCTTTCGATCTGTGTCATAAATGTGCATAGAATGAGAAATATATTCTTGAGGTCATAATACATGTATAATTTTAGAATCTTTTATTGCAGTCAAAATTCTTATGTACAAAACTACGAATGAACCTCTTCGCTTTCGTGGTGGTGGTTGCTCTATGTCTCACGGTCAACACTGACGCGTGGACCCTTCAGCTGGCTGGAACTGTCTACGACGGACAAACCAATCAAGAGTGTACAAATGTCCACCTCTACGCGGGACAAAAGTTTGTTTGGGAGAGAGCATGGCATGAGAGTTGTTGCATTCGATTCTATGGTGAAAATGACTGCGACGGTGATCAGATTGGGTTCTCGTGCCCCGACTGGAGCAAAGAATCGTCGCAGACGATTCTCAGTTTTAAAGTGACCAACTGCTAAACCAAGTGCTTGTAAGTCAGTCAACATTATTACGATTCTTATTACTGATTGTCTTTTTCGTTTCTAAACTATGACAGGAATGGCATATACATGGGCTGCTACTGCATCTAATCTTCCGAGTGCTGAACTTCTGTAATCGCTTTTTTCTTTGTTGCTTTATCCTATTATTGGTATTTTCTGACAATAAAATTTAACCCGAATTTTTTCAAAAATAAATATCGGTTTCATGTCGCGTCATGCGTACCATACACACCAAGGGTTAGAGGTACCAAGCAAGGATGTACAACTCACGCTCATGAGCGTGAGTATTTCTTCTGTACTGTGCTCATGGGCTACACAAAAGGTGTACCCGTAACCTTTCATGGCTATCTAGAGTTAGTCTGCGTTACTCTTCTAGATCAATACAGGATTGGTCTAGTATCTGTTCGGATTTTTGGTGGTGATGATCCTCGTATATAAACAAGACCTCTTTCAGGATAGTGCTTATATATCTTGGCGGCTTGTGACGAGGTGACACCAGTGATTCTTTAGAGACTATTTATTGGATTGTATAAGATTGGTCCCATAGCTTTTTCGGTGGATCCAGAAGCTCTCTAGTGCCATTCTGAGTGTGATTTGCATATCTCTAAAAGTGTTATGTCGGCATGACACTGATGATTTTTCAGTGATAAAATCGGAGGAGTTGGGGTGAACAATCGTATGTCCTTCAATGTGCCGTGTCTTTTGGTGATCAAAGCGTGCTCGTTGGCATGGCTGCCATCTTCCCTTGTTTTGCTTGCTTCAATGAACAACAGGATCCCTACCTTGCATGTGTTTGATTTTTATGTCATCGTCTGTGAAGCATGATGAATTTTCGAGAATCTTTTAAAAAGGCTGTGTGTCTCTAGTGATAAGCTCACTGGCTAATGCGATATTATGTTATGATACAGCAGCCAGTATTCATGACTGTTTGCATGATTATGTCATAAAATGATACAACCTTTATGTTTGAAGAAAAAATCATGTCACTGACGGCTGCTTATATACATTTAATAGCTATTCCTTGACTCTAGTGCAGAGAGTGTGGGTATGCTACAGTGGACAACCAGGCAAACATGACCTCAAGTTCTATTTTCCAAAGTTTCAATATTGGAATGAATACGTCTATGGTTAGTTTATTTTACCCTGAAACTAGATTTCCAGGAATCAACTCGAAACGTGGAAAAGGTCATCATCAAAAAATTGTTCATAAGTCCGTAAAGTATATAGAAACCATTTCCTTTATCATTTGGTAAGAGTTCAAATTTCATGATGCTTCGCATATCACTCATAGTCGACTGAATGAAACATATCGAAGTAATACGTGTTTTATCTTTATATAGTATGAAACAAAGTAATTATGACTCACACGATAAGAAGAAAGAAATTATTCTTTACAATCGATTCGCTATTCGTTCTCTAGATTGAAAAACAAGCTGTGTTAGCAATTTTATGTTCAAATGTATTTCGTCAGATCAAAACATTTTGAATTTTTTTAAGTAGCAACTAATTTTTGATCATTAATAGATGACATCCGCATCAAATGTTTATTAGTCTTCATTGAACTCCTGTTATAGGAATGATTGATAAGTTGAAAATTATGCTTGCTATTCAATTGAAATATGTAGAAATCAGAAACCGAATCGAATCGGGTTTTGCCGTTTCAAGTTCGGTTCAGTTGATTTTCGGTCTCTATATCAAACTATAAACAGAAAATTCTCTTTATTAGAAATGAAAGGAAAAGTAATCACATTCTCACTACGAATAACTTTTGCCGTCATCCAAATCATCTGCTGATTT